TACTGCGCCTCTCGCCCTTTCTAGTTTGACTTCATGTTTTTCTCATCTGTCCTTGCCTTGTTTATCTCCGTTCTTAGAAGTTTTGTCTGAAAACTGTGTACCGCTTGGTTCGAAAACACCCCATTTTCCGGTACCCTGAACCTCAAAAAATCAGGTATAATGCCGTTTTCTAGACAAACTCTCAAAAATTTAACACGTTGGTGACAGTTGATAAATTTAACATATATGGACGCATAATCACGGACTAATTTCCAAATGAGTTTGTTTTTCAAAGTCCAAATCAAGAATGGAGGTGGGAGTACAACTGTGCTCATTGGTTTGCAGGCCACGAGGAATAAACCTCACGTGACACAAAGCAACTCAAATGACACAAGTTTAACTCAACCTCTCCGTTGAAGCCTCCTCGTCAGTCCGACCAACAGTTGCTTCGCCTATGTTCACCAGTCTTCTTTTCTCCGCCCTCCTTCTCGATTGAGATTTCTTTTTCGTGTTTGAACGAAGCTTGGACAAGACAGCTGGCAGGTTGTCTTGGTGTTCGAACACAATCCTCAAAGACTTTAGCTCCAGCTGGACGTCCTGGTGCAGTGCCTGATATTCGTTGACCAGCTCCGTTCTTCTCTTCCTCTTTGAAATGAGACACTTTGTAATAGGAATGACAAGAATACCCGAGCTGATCAGCTGGTTCCTGATATCCGGTGTACCGTTTCTCTGACAGTATACAATTGCGCTGATGTTTGTCAGTGTCTTCAGGATTTCTGTCAATTCCTCTGCAATGCAATCTCTGAAATTGTTTGTGCGGTGGCTGTTGATAGAATTATTGATGATGTCATGCCACACCACCACTTGACGTTATTCTGCTAGAGGTGCCCTGCAGAGTAGGCTTGCGAGGTTCTTCTGTGGGTTCGTGGTGTTCGGGTTTAAAGAAAGTCCCGGAATAGCCAAAATTTTGGGTAGAAATTGTTCTTTTTCCGGGTTGCTAAGTTGTTCCAGGCTGTGGTAGAGTGAGCTAGCTAATACAATATAGACCATTTCAATTATAACATGGTAAAATATAAAAAAAATTTTCAACTAAAAAGATTTCTCCACTAAAACAAGGGAAAAAATAAATTTAAAATGACGTCTTCTTGTAAGAGAGACTGTAATTGAGAATTGGCTCAACGCCGTAGAATAGGAATTTTTTAAAATTGGTAATTCAAACGTTTTCGCACATTTTGTGCATCGTCAGGATATAAAGTTTTTATTTACAATAAAATGATCAAAGATCATGTATGAAATTCAAAAAGAACATGTTAGAAATTTTTAACCAATCACATTCTTACATCTGTTATTACGTAATCATTATTTCATCGATTATGACAATTTTCATACTTTTTTGTTACTTGAGTCATAATTTTTCGATTTGATGTTTTATCCAAACTGACATGTCAGTTTATTTTTTCAAAAATTGCGATTTTTAGTCATGTTTAAACATGTACTATAATTTTAATGTCAGCTCCCTGCTCCTGAACTCCTCGCGCGTGTTAATTCTGGGGCGTTCTTTCCAAATATGTAAGGCCTCCAGAGTGAGGAGTTTCTGTATGTTACTTGATTGATCTGTAATCTCAGACTTAAGCTCAGCGCTCTTACCATCCCTGTCACATTCTCTCAAATGTTGCCCTACTGGCGAATCTTCCTTGTGATGCTCTTCAATCCGCGTGGTCAAATGCCGGACCGTTTGTCCAACATAGGTGGAATTACATCCACTACATGTGAGCTTATAGACCACTCTTGATTTCAAATCTTTCGCAAAGGAAGATTTAAGGGACGGTAGGCAAGTCTTGAGCTTTCTCGTAGTAAATATCACTTGGGCTCCGGCGTTTTGACGCAGTTTGGCAGCAAACCACTCCGATGCATTACCCCGGTATTGTAATGTTATAATGGGTGCACTGACCTTCAAAGGATCTTCCTTGACTGATGTTACCGTTGTTCGTGTGTCAGTTTTTCGGTCGATGATCTTATTCAACGTTCTTAATACGACACCATCTGACCATTTTTCAGGGTATTGATTATCCACCCATTGTTCTCTATTAATCTTCATTGCCTTGTCAAAGTTTTCCCATGTTGATGTACTTCTAAAAATCCGATGAACAGTACCCTCAACTACATTGCGTTTATATTGAAATGGAGCGCAGCTTCTGAAGTTAAGGATAGTCCCAGTATCCGTTGGTTTTTGATACCATCCACATGTTACCTTTTTTCGTGAGTCCACATTAATGTTCAAATCTAGAAAGGCTAAGTCTCCGTTCGAATCCGGATTTTCGATAGTGAATTGTAAGTTGGGGTGGAGCTCATTAGCTGCTTTTAACACTATATCTGGATCCCCCTTTACCGTCCTCACTATATCATCTACATATCTTAGGAACGCTTTGACATTTTCTGTTGGTTTTTCTTGATCTCGCTGCTCTTTACATCTCTTACAATACCAAACCATTTCTGAGATTTGCTCATATTCTTTGTCGGATACATTACTACACTTTAAATGGTACCAATTTAAACAAGCTTCGCATTCGATCCCCTTACTTCTGTATGTTACCCTCCACTCGCAATCAGGGCATAGGCCATTCCGGTTTTCATTTAGCAGTGTCAACGCAGGTACTTCCTTCATTAATGCATATTCGTACTCCTTTAGCCATAAATTGGCAAGAATGACAGCAAGGGATGCACCCATTGCCAACCCATCCTTTTGTACGTACCATAAACCATTTGAAGTGCACCTTACTTACAGCCATGTTCAACAATTTCTTCATAGTTCCGCGTGCCAGTTTAGGAGGACTAGTTTGTCCGTACAGTTTCCTCAGTGCTATATCTATTGCCTCCTTTAGTGGGACATTAGTGTACAAACTTTTGACATCCAGGGAGATAATACTCTCATTATAGTCTAGATCTATGTTCTCTATGATCTCCCGAGCCATTTGTGTGTTTGTCTCAATGTTTGCCCCCTCAATGTTGTCAAAAAATTTGGCCAAAGTTTTATTTAGATGTTCATATGAGCTCCCTGGCAGTGACAGTACGGGACGGAGAGGGGTTCCTTTCTTATGTAATTTAGCCAATCCATATAATCGAGCTGGCTGCCCTCCCGTGCTCGTGGACCTAAGCCTACTATACAGTGCCTCATCGATCTCATCTTTCTTTTTCATGGCCAACAGTTCTTTGTTGATGTCTTTCTCAATTTTCATAACAACACTATCAGTTCAACCTGGTTTTTCGCTAAATTGATCCGATTGCAGCAGCTCAGTTAGTTTAGCCTCATATGTCGTTTTCTTCATTACACAGAAGCCAACACCTTTATCGAATGGGACTGCCAAGAGACCATTGTCCTTCAAATACTTCCTGGCTTTCTCAATCCCTCTATCCGACGGTGTTTACCGCACACGTTTAGCGTATGATTTTGCAACAGCTTCAATTTCACATAATTTTTCACCTGGTACCTTTTGCGATTTAAGCTCAGATAAAAAATTATCAATGTCCGCAAGAAAGTGAAGTTCATTGAAACGATCCCTCACCGGGTGCTTTGGGCCAAAAACTAACACTTCATGAACCCACTTGGGTAGCTCAATGCCATCTAGTGCTCTGACCGATTTGTCATTCACTTTCATTAACGGTCTGTCCTGCCGCTCTGCTAGCTTTTTTAACTTCTTTTCATGTCTATCCTTGATGTCAAGGATAGCAATTCTAGCCTGGAGCTTTAGATAAAATGCTATTGAGGGCCACCATTGTTCATCTATCCCTCTCCGCACTACCTCTCTTGCCTTAGCTAGATCATCGTCTATCTTCTTCTCTTCTGACCTTGCCTGATTTATCTCTGTTCTTAGGAGTTTCAACGCCGTAGGGTTTCAAAATTTTACATCTAAATATTTTGAGAATGCGTTAAAATTGTAAATTCAAACAAACGTTTTCGCACATTTTGTGCATCTTCAGGTTTTAAAAATTCTAAACTATCTGTACAAAATGATCAAAGATCATAAAAAGTGTCACACACATCATTACTTCAAAATTTTCAAAATTCAACCAATCAAAACTTTACAAATATCACTGAAATTATGTAACAACTCTTATGTAACATTTTAAAACATTTTTTTCACAAATTTCTGAGAGTTTTCTTCATTTCTATTTTCACATTTTCGTTTTGTGGCTAATTTTTATGCTAACATGTACGTTGTTTCAAAATTTTGTTGTTTTAGCCAGAATTTTTCGATTCTGGAACTATAGCCTGTGAAACTAAAAGTTTGTGAAACTCTTTTATACGAACTTTTAGCTTCCCGGTTATGTCTTGAATTGAATTTATTTAACATCTGAATTCATTTTGCGACGATGAGAAGCTATGAGTTAGGGGAAGGGGTTGATCCATCTTCGATGGAGATGATGATTTTTATCTACTGAACAAAAACAATAGTAAAATAATAAGAAGTAGTAGCCCTGTTTTTAGGAGTGACCTCGTGGTCTGGGGATACTGAGACCCAGCCATGAGCTCACTAATTTTGCATGTAGTTAAGTTAATTTGAGTGTTTTGACCGAAGCCGAAAGCAGTAACGTTTTTGTCGACCCGATGTTAGAAAGACCACCAAAAGAACTGGCTTGGTAGAGACGGTGAAAAGCATGTAGAGCTCTGTTTAGACGCTGGCCAGTCGTTTTATAGCCTAGCTCTAATTTCCGTCGTTATGTACTTCCGGGCGAATGTTACAGGTAACCTCGGTTACTATGATACTTTTGAACTTCTGATTACCTTCAAATTAGAACAGAGACAGGCAATGCGCCAACGGCACCGTTAACTTCATTGTAGTGGCGGTAGAAGTAACGCATAAAGAGTTTGATAAGTCCGCATTTCTGTCCCATCGGGAAATCAGAAGGTCAGAAGTTATCACGATTATGGAAACTACTACACCTGTCCTTCATCATCTCACCCAATCCAAAATCTTTGCAATTGATGTAACATCCGTGTGAAAGTAGCCTTGCCTTATTTCAGTGGTGATGGGCGATCTTCAAAAGGTCCCATACACACCATTTGTATACTGGGCTCAGCGTGAAGACAGAGTTTTATTGAAAGTTGCTCTCAAGGATGTCAAGGTAATTCATTTTTCTCTAACTGATATGAATTAACGGTTATGGGTTGCATGAACAACGATTAATTTGCGAGTAACAAAACTATATTTTGAGTTTTTAATTTAGAATAAAGAAGTTTCTATTGATGGTTCAAATTTAAAACTCAAAGCTACCGGAGCAGGACAAAATGGAGAGCAAGAATATAATTTGAATTTGGAATTATACTCTACCGTACAAACTGAGGTAAGCAGCTTTTTTCCACTAATTTTTCTGACTGTAGAAGAGAATTTGTTATGGAAGCTATAACGTTAACACAAGTGAAAGTACGACTTTTCCCAACCGTATTGTAAGGCCGATTTTTCAGTCCGCTGGTAAGAAAACTATCAGTTTGATTATAATGCCTGAGACAAACGTGAAATTTTCAACTAATCCTTTATTGCAACCTGTGTTCTGGCGTCAAAAACGCGGAAGTTGCCGTCATAATTATGATGTTTTCAATAGCAAATCATAAATTGTGAGGCACGTTCGACCAATTCGTTTTTTCGGAACACGAAACCATGCTTGAATACGCACCAATCATGTAGGTTTAACAAATTTATTGGATAACCTCGGAAGTTAATGAAATAGTTCTGAACTTCATGCTGAAACTAATTCGAAATAGTTATTTGAAGTTTCGCGTTTGCCTTTGTTGGTGTTTTTTGCTCTGAAAAAAATACACGACAGATTGTTGTCTACACTTGTGGACAAAATTAAGCGCAAATTCAGGTTTTTTTCTGGAAAGGGTTGTATTTAAGGATGCTTCTGGACATCATTTAAATCGAATTGAAACGAAATGAATTTCTTGCATAGACCAAGACCATGTAATAAAGGCTGACTCTTTGAGTTTGTAAAATTTCGATTGAAAAATTTAATATGCACTAAGTTTTTCAAACCATGTGAAATTGCAAGAAAGTCGAATTTAGTGAAACTGTCGCACGAATTGTTCAATTTTAGCATTGAGAGATTTTCACATTGCCTTGATAATTTTTTTTCTCGCTTAACTGGCATTTTCAGACCCGGATTTAGCTTGTAAACTTTGAAACCAAAGTTCGCTAATTTCATAGAGTTGCTTTTACAATTTGCTCTTCGTTTATGAAAATACTTCATTTCAATTTGAAAAAAGGTTGTTCAAAAACTTTCTGCAGAAAAACCATTTTTTTAACTGAAAACTGCTCGTGTTTGCGCTAATTTTTTCCACTAGTGTAACCCAACTTGAATAAAATAGTCCTAAGATGACTTTTGGCAATTTACAGAATGTGTCCGCTAAGTTTTATTGGTGTCTGGTATTCACCTATTTCAAGTGCTCAAATGGGGAATAAAGGACGTTTAACTCCGTTATTTGTTTTCGGCCGACTGTTCGATTCCGGCAAAGACAAAAACATCAAAGTTTGAGGCGTTTCGATTTATTTATCATCATCAGAAACTAAAATACAAAAACAGTACTGATTATAAATACAGCAATAAAAATGAACAGAAACATGTAACTAGCTGATAGAATCAGAACATAGAAACAAGAAAGTTGTTTCCGCGCTGCTTCTGCTGACAGTTCCGGCAAATGTTTTCTACTTTTTCCCTTTCCCTTATTTCTTTTTTTTGTTGCCTTTTTGGAGCTACTTTTTTGCCGTTTTATCGCTTGTCTTCGCGATTTTTTTTGCCGGTTTATCCCCTGTCTTTGCGAGTTTCATTACCCTTCCACAAATGGTTATCAGTATATTATATCATATCAACTGCCGAGATAACAGGATGATTAGTGTAGTGGTGGTAGCATATGTCTCTGTTGTCGGGTGTTTTAAGCCAAATGATGTACCAAAAGTAATGTTAGATGGGGGTCAAGACGGAAGTAGAGCAAATGAAACTTTTTCACGCAGATTGTTCCCATGTAAACCTGATTTCAAAACCTCCGCCATCCCGAAAAAAAATCTACAAAATCTAAGTCATTTTTTTTTGTAAAAACGAATGTGCCCGGATAGTTTTGTGATACTTGCACAGCAACCGGCTAATCTTGTTTGGTTTAGAAATGGCATCATATTGAGAGAAGCAACTACATCGATTTCTCATTGCTGAAGCAGAACCAAGAATGGTGGCCCAAGCTAACTGCTAATGGGCCAAACCCGCCATGGCTCAAGGTAAGATCTACACTATTATTGTTGTTCAATTCTACCTTCTGTCCGGCCTCGAGCTCTTTGATATTGATCTACTTTTGGTCAATTTTTTTGAGTGCCCATAGATGATAAAGATGAACAAAAACGAGTTAGTTTTTTCAATGGTCAGAGAAAGAAGCCTAGAGATTTCGTCCCTTTCTACTTAAAATGGTAAATGTAGGTTTTACTTTCTCGCTATAATTTTGCAAACTATTTGAGAGTGTGATCTGAAAGCAGAGTGACATGTTACTCAGATAGACTTTGACCGTTGGGTTGACGAATGCGAAGAGAAGGAGGATGAGGATGAGGCGGCAGGGGACTCATTTGACCCCAGAGATGCCGATCGGGAGATGTTTCGAAAGTGGGCACAGGATGCGAGGACTAAAGAGGCCAGTGGGATCTACTCAAAAGATGATAATCATACGCGTAAGTTAATGTCGCTCCCAAAGTTTGAGCCACAACCCGAAGTATTGTTCAGCTATAAAGCGGAAATAGGCATTTTTCTATGACCTTTTCATAGTAAGCTATAATGCTTTAATGTTTTAATGTTTGTACTAGCGGAGAGCTTTTTAAGAGTCGATGAACGTATTTCAGACTCTTGCATAGATCATGATGTTTTTTTCAGGAAAAGTCTTAAAATTTGTTCACGCTCAAATATAATTTTTTCGCGGTTTGACTTAAGATTTTTTAAGTTCAGTTTATTTATTTAGTTAAAGGAATGCAAACTCCACCATCGAACAGCAAGTCTGTATTTGTTTTTTTTTCAAAAAACAAGGCTTTATTTTTTTGTTTCTTTGCAGTCATGACTTTTTTAAACTGACATGGCTATGTTTTAAACTGCCAAGCCAATTTTTTTTGGTTTTAAAGTTTTAATTATAAAGGTCGAAATTGAGGCTTGCAATGACCGTCTATGCTAATACTTTCGTTTTTCAAGAAAGCATCCTCAAGGGTCTGATTCTCGTAATATTGGGCGAATGAAAGAAAAACTTGTGGTATTAATCAAAGCATATTGTCTATCAATGAATCGAATCAGAAAATATGAATTGAAAATATTTAAAATATTTTTCTGAAGCTTGATTAATCATGCTACCACTTTGAACTGTCATTTTATCAACTTGACTGTTTAGCTGTAGAAGAACTGCAGATGATGATAATGTTTTTCTACAACCTACTGCAACTAGCCCTGACTGCCTTCATGCTGGGCTCCATGGCCTGGAGGGCTGCCACCACAACTGACATCAAGTACTTCGCACACATCTACTCCACTTATCATATCCCGCTCTCTATCTCTACCGGATTCACCATGACTGAGGCACTCTTCGGGGCAATCGGATGGACCCCGGGAGGATTCATGAACCCACTTTTGCAGGTAACTCAATAGCTAGAAAAGGTATTTAAAAGCAGAAATTAGGTCAGATTTTATAATTTATACTGGAGTTGGAATCGAACGGGAACCATGTGAGTTGGAACCAGCAGTTTCTTTGTACGTAAAAACAAAAAATACATTTAAATTTAGTTATAATGATAAAGTAACCGTTTTTTTTGAGATTGTTATACGTACGGAGTTTACAGGCCAACTGGGGGAGTGAGTTTAACCTTAAGCCTTGTTATTATTACCCTTGCGATAAGAAAATGTATTGTAACTGGATGCTAGACTGTTGCCCGCGAATAGCATTGGTCACAGGTTAACTGAGATTGGTTGTCATCTCTAAATCTGTAATTTCGTCAACCAACAGGCATATTTTGGAATTTTCTTTTTTTGTTGTGATTTTTGTTTTTCCTGTTATGAGTCATGAACGTAGTGAATACTCTTATATAGGTCTTGGTATTTTTTTTGGTATTTTTCAGGACAAAGTCTCGAAGTTGGTTCACGCTAAATTTGATTTTTTGCATTTTGTCTTTTGATATCTTTTTAAGTTCACTTCATTTCTTTTGTTACTAGGAAGGCAAACTCCACTAGCGAACAGCAAAAGTGTAAAGTCACCGAAAATGTGATCGACTTCTAGTTTCGAGAGTGGATTTTTTTTTTCAGTTTTCCCAGCGGAATAAAAAGTTTACCGATTGATCCAGTTTGCTCAAATTGGGTCAATTTTATCAAAAAAGTCTCCATCATAAATTGTTTCTCAAAGTTCGAAGATCTTTAAAGGCATATATTTTGTTCTTCAAAATTCGAAACTTGAAATTTTTTCCAAAAACAAATCAGTACTTTTTCTGTTTTCTTGCGTTCAGGACTTTTCCAACTGTCTGTTGGCTTTGTTTTTATTAGTAAAAAAAATTGCTTCAAAATTGTATTTAGTTTACTCATGGTAAAAACCTCCGTTTGAACCCATCCGTGAAATCGGGATCTTATAAGTGCCGACTCTTTCCGATTTAGCCATTTAGAAAAGTGATAGATGCATTAGAAAGGGAACGTAAGAATGAGAGACCGGATTTAATTAACTTGTTCCATAATTTTAGTTCTGTGGACGTAGTATAGCGCTGGCTGTGGTGACGTTTGGAGACGTCTCCTCCCAACAGCAGCTTTCTTTCTTCCACCTGGCCTTCACCTGGTGCACCGCTGACGTCATCCGCTTCGCCTACCTAATGTTCAACTGCATAGACAGACAGTCACACTACCTCACCTGGCTGAGATACACGATGTGGATGCCACTCTACCCACTCGGATTTGGAATGGAAGGTAAGTCAGCATAGAGTTGAGGAGATTACAACTATGTTCAGTTAAAAATGTTTATCCACGAAGAAAAAACCAACATTCGAACTGTTCTATGAAGCTGTTGAGAACCACTGTTGTGACGCTGATGAACAACTTGCTTCGATTATAATTGTGTAGAATTTGCGTTAAAATCAGTTCCCCACTAATGCAAACCCAAAGTGCGTCAAAGATGTTTAGCTTGTCTTGTCTCGATTGAAAAATTGCGGAGCTATCAAAATGGAACGTTTTGTTGGCATTTGCATGAAAAGTATCTTTGTTTTTCTCTGAAAAGGCATCGGCTCTTCATAGACGGTCTATGAAGCCCACATGTTAAAGTCACTTTTGTTATGAAATCCTTGGCTAATATGAGAATGTAATCGCGAGACACTAAACAGAAGAAGCGTGTCTGAGTTAAAAACCAGCAGTATAACTTTAAAAAGTGTTTTTCGTTGTTTCAGTGGTTAACATTCTGAATTGTCTGCCCCATTATGTAAAGAAGGCGAAGAGTGACAATGTGCCCTACCATATCATGATCTATATCTACCTACCCATCGCTCTATTAGGTCAGTCAAAATACTCTCTATATCTTTGACACCTTTAAACAGAAAAGACTTAACAGCTGTAATACTTCGTATCGTTTGCGAAAAGATCTGACGTGTGAGTTGCTAGACGATTTTTTAGTATATAAAAACTGAGAGTTGAATGTTTAAACTGGATAACAGGAATAGAAAAATCATTTGGCATATGATTTGAAAATTGCTTTATGAAAACTGAGCATTCTTGAACCAAATTATAAAAACTTGTTTTCACAGTAGATTCAATTGATCAATTTCAGGATTCTTGAAGCTCTACTTCCATATGTTCAAAGTTAGAAGGAAGAAGATTGGCTCCTCGTATTTGGGCGACAAAATGGATCTCGATGCATTTCAGAAAGCTAAGAAGACACAATAGATAAACTGAACTAAACTCGCAGTTTCTAATGACAATGCAATGACTTAACTATATTATGATTTGTATATTATTTAAAATTTTATTGCGAATTAGCATTCAAGTTATGAATGAAATTGCCACAACCTTCGAAAGTTTTTCCATAAAAATGTTCCAGCTATTCACGAAATTAATCTTATCCTGCAAGGTTTTTGTCAGCTCAGAATGCTACCTTTACATCCAAGATCAAACGTCGTTTTCCTTTGAGCGAAACGGTTGTCTTCTAAATGTCGCTAGTAAAAACTTGCTTTTTTGGTTGCTGGCATTTTGGGGTCGTGAAGCAAGTGTCGTGTAATGGGGAACAAGACTTTTTTCCCGTAAACAACTTTTCTTGCAAATTTAACTGGCTTTTCTTACTTGCTTTTTTATTGAAGCTGAAGAAGTATCAATTCTATTCGCACTTGGACTAGAGGTTACGCCATTGCATTTGGACACTAAGGTCATGTGTGCAAGTCCCGGCCGGACGTTGTTTTTTTTCAGTATGTTTTCAAATGAAATTTTTCCGGTAAAAATTGATTGCTCGTATTTTTGGTTGGTCGGCCTATTTGCCAGATCGCTAAGTTTGCTTGTGCTCACAGCAACTTTCGTATAAGTTTTGTTCAATTTAATGTAGTTTCAAGGGGTACTGATTTGAAAATTTTGAAAATATTTTTTTTGCTCGACTTGTGTCTGCTCAGATTGTATTCTTTATTTCCTCTTCGTAAGTTTCATTCAGTTGCTAATTTAATATTAAAATGTGTGGTATCTTTGCTTAAAATAATCTTCTACCGAAACTTTGTACACCTTAAACATTTTTTTCGGTTTTCGGAAACTTTTTGACTTCTCTCAAAAACTACCCTGCCAATTTCTATCTAGTGGTCTCAAAAACTACCCTGCCAAGTGATCAATCGAGAAATCCGGTTTGGGAAGTTTTCTCAGTAACGCGGCTTCAACATTTTTGCAGAATAAAAATTGTTGATTTCCGAAAAGTTCATACTTTGAAATAGTTGATTTCAAATAATTCAAGTTTTTGAACGTTTGATAGTTTTTTCGAAACTTGACTTTTATAAACTACCCTGTCAAATCGAGTAGACAGGATCAAACGAAAAAGGCAGTTGCGAAAATGTTTCCTGCAGAAGCGACGTCTCCTTTATTAGTTGTAAGAAAATTGATGTCTTTGGGAAGATTTCAATTTCTCATAAGTTTTCTCTCTTTTATTTTAGTAGAGAAACAGCAAAGTTTTGGGTAAAGAACAATTTCTGAAATTACCCATTTTATCACACATCAGTATAACAAAGTTATCAAAACACCTACTATCAGTGTTAGCTCGGCCTCTAGTTATCATTTAAGGAAACATACGAAACTTTTGGTCCTTGTTGATTTTCATTTTTACTATTCGTGTTGCTCCGGAGTGGTACGAAGCTCTGTTTTGCCTCCGTATCCCTGTTTTAAAAAAGCAACAGTCGTAAACTCGTCGTAAAAACCAACGAGTCTTGAGTGCATATTTTTCCTTATAAATTTATCAGGTTTATTTTTCAAAAAACACGTCAGATTTTTTCGTTTTCGTTGCGTACATTTCTCTTTTCTAACTTTTTTGATTTATCTTCGGTTCTTTTTTGGAAAATTTTTAAATTCGTCTACTGTCAAGTTCGATTTTTGATTTTTTTGAAGTTGTTATATAATTCTTGAGTGATTTTTTTCTTGTTTCTTTTCTACGAAAAAATTCTATATTTAATCACACCAAGATTGATTTTTGGCGATTTGACTTCAGATTTTTTTTATATTCACTTCTTTTTAAATTCACTTCTTCAGGCAAACTTCGCTATCGAACAGTCAAAGTGTAAAGATCACAAAAAACGACAGCGACTGCTGGTTTCAAAAGTGGATTTGAAATTTTGGAATTGCCACAGGAAAAAATCATTGATCCAGCCTTTTCGCATATGTTCACTCTTATTAAAGAATGTAGGGGCGGCATACAAATTGGTTCGTTGAAATTCAAAGTTAGATTGCTTATAACTATTTTTTCTCTTTTGTTGCGTTCTTTTACCAATTCACTGTTGTCTATGTTTTCTTTTTGAGACATATATATTTTTTCAGAATATACAGATATTTTGCAAATTTCGAGCATAATTAAGTTTTGCTTTTCTAGAGCTTCTTTTTCCGGTTTAACTACTTGTGTTTCGCCTTTGCTTGGTCTCTGCGTCACAAAATTGTCAATCATATAAATTATCATTATCAGAGTCCCCTCATACTCTCGTGGTCGAACCATGGGATGAAACCAAATTTTACCAGCCAAAATAATCTGTCAAAAACGTTCTGGCTAGGGCTCTGGCTAATAATTGCAGAAAAACGCCTGCCTGAAGGCTAATGCTAAAAATAACTAGGGCACAAAAACCGTTCGCTTATAAAATGAAACTGATTCTTTCATGGCGAATAAAGGGTCCTTAAAAAACAAAACCAGATTTTTCTCCAAACGTTTTTTCCGCAAACTAAAATATAACTCGAAGTTAAAGTATATGCTTTAGCTTCTAAATGAACATCACTGACTACAAATTATAAGTTATAAATCTATCACTGCAGGACAGGACATTTAAAACATATTACGTCTACAAAGGCAACTCATACAGCTTAAGGGATGCCCTTAAATTTAATTATTTTGTGAGATAATGCATAAGTATTTTGCTTCTAATTGTCTGTCCAGTCCGAAAAAATGGATCAAAACTAAAGAGCATCGTGAATTTCCCAATTTTTTTGACTATCTCACTGAAAAGTTTAGGAGATCAAATGAGTTAATCATATTAACAGTCTTTCAATCAAGACTCGAACTTAAAAGTTAAGTTAAAAAAAAAGTTTTCTCATTATTCTCTGTTTTTCTCATTATGAAATTTTTTTTTGCCATTTAGACTTAAAATTGATAAACGCTACAAACTGATTGCACTTTTCATTTTCATACGCTCCGATTTGTCCCCTGAACACATGATTTGATATATTTTGAACGTATTGTATAATCTGTGGGTTTGTCAATGGGGAGGAACTTTGGATTTGGGTTTTTTTGTTCTCCGCGCAAAAACAAGTAACACAATTAATCATCGGAATGGATCGAATTAATTAACATGTTTTACCTTCATCAGTCTTGATATCAAATATTTGAAAATTTTAGGCGAAAAAAACTTGATTTTATTGAAACTAATCAGCGCTTTCTTGGCAAAAACTTAAATCAATCAAATGCTTTTTAGGCACAAACGTTTTCTCATGAAATAATTTGGAAAATTTTTTTACTGATTTTGTTTCGTTTTTTATTCATTTTAGACAAATGATGTCGGTTATGCCTAATTCTCTAATTGCCTACACGTTTGTCTGTTTGTATAGTTTTAGGTGTCAGGATAACAGATACCAAACTATAAAATCCCATGACCAAAGATACCATACCAAAAAAACCCATATACTAAAACTGCCCATAGCATAAATATACGTGCCATTTAAAAACTCCCATGAATTATGAACCATGATAGACCATGAAATACGAACAATCCCTTTTTGAAGTGTAAAAAAATATAAGATAGCTCATCAAAACTGCTTTATCAAAAAACTACACAAATCTAAGACAACCAAATTCGAAATTAACCTATTTTGTGGATTAACATACTGCCAATTTAGTGTTAATATGTTATTGAATTAGAACAGCTCAATTAAAAATAAATATAATCTAATTTAATATTGCACTTTTCAACTCTTTGAATAGTCAAACTGATTTATTTCTCATGGAGAACCCTACAAAGAACCACGCACTTCATATTTTTGACGGCCTGTTTGTAGAAAAAGTGCGATACAAAGACAACAACACATTGGCGCTGCAATTAAAATGAAAGCCCAAAAAACTTTTATTTAATTACACGTTTCAGTTCAGAATCAGCTCAATCGGGTAAAAGGTCAGTTCATCGCAGCTAGATTAAAACAATATCCCTGCTCACCATTGCCACAGTTGAACTTCCTTTTAAAATACCGGATCGTTTTAGGAGTTTTTTTGCTTCAAAACCTTCAATAGCCAATAAGATACGGTGAGTTTATTGATTTTTATGTCGTGGACAATTTCAGATTGTTGTGTTTTTTTGTATCGTATGGGCTGGGAGTTTCTTGTTTGGGAGCTTAAGGTAATACATGGTGTTTCAAATAAACTGTAATTTTATAAAACGCTATAACTTTTTTTTGAGAAGAGATAAATACACAATTTTTTCTGCACAAGATAGATAAGTGGCGGAGATTTGAATATCTGATAAAATTGTTTTATAAAAGATGCTGAAAGTGTCCGCCATTTTGAGCAACACAGCTTTGTAATCTTTTCTTCAAATTTCTCAATGACTCTTCGATATTATCGGGCGTTATTGTATTTCGGGCATCTTCTACAGTTTGCATGAGTTCGTCAATACTTCGTGGATTCGCACCATGAACAATTTTCCCCAGATGACCCCACAGCCAAAAAGCCAGGGGATTCAGGTCCGGACTCTGAGGTGGCCAGGGTATAGGGGTTCGTCTACTTATAATTCTGTCGTTGAACTTTGTCCCAAGCCAACTGAGTACGCGTCCCGTGCAGTGACATGTGGCTCCGTCTTGCATAAACCATATGCGCCTCAAGTTTCGTCGTTTTCGAAGGACTGACCAGAGGTCGTGTTCCAGCATGTTCAGATACGAAAACTGGTTCAGTGTTATTGGTCGTTGCTGTTCGTCTACGAACCAAAACGGGCCAAGAACAGCTCCTTGAAGGAAACCCATCCAGCACATCACATTCTTTTTGCCCTGGTAATTGCACTCCGCGTATTCTCTGGGGTTAACTAAACTCCATCTCCTATCGTTTTGAGAATTTGGAGAGCTGTCGAGCACCCACCACTTTTCGTCTGAGAAAATCACCCGTGATGTGAAATCTGCCGCTGTTTCAATCTTGCTCAAGCACCAGACACCAAAAGTAAGTCTCAAGCCGAAGTTCGTCTTTTTAATTTGGTGTGTTTTGAGCACTTTGTAGGGCTTCATTTTGGCAGCTCTCGCGACTCTCCAAGTTGTGGTGCGGCTCAACCCCAAATCAGCTGCTGCTTTAGTTATTGAATCTTTAGGATGAAAATCAAAGTGTCTTATAATACTGGCATTCGCTTCATCGGTTCCTGGTAACCCCGTTC